ACAGGTTACTGAATTATCTTTTAAGCTTCCTAGCCCTGTGGATCCATTAAACCTTAATTAAAGAGGAATCTTAGAAAAAAATAATCAGACCATTTATATCCAAGGAAGGTGCACATTGCTCATTTGTTTGTTCACCAGCATAAAAATTATTATTTAATGGAAATTCTAATCACAGCAATCTTATAGATAGACATATATTAAATGTATTAATCTTTCTATAAGGTTATTCACAATGTATAAGGTTACTCCTCTGAAAAGACTGCTTCAGATTGCTTTCCGGTAATGCTAATACCCATTAAAAAGATGAATATATATGTGTGTAAGTCAATCATAAGGTATTAAAGAGGTATAGCAACTTAAGCTTCTTTTCTTCTTGGCAGGTCACTTTGAGAAATGTCCTAGTTCAATTAAAATATTTTTTCCATTTCCTAGGAGTAGATTCAGATATGCTCTGTCTGTTCTCTATCTTATCTTCACTGTCAGGATTTAAAACAAACCTGAGAGAGATATAAGATGGATAGTCCAGCTACTTCCGATTCTGAACAGATTCATATTAGAAGTGTGTATACGTGTATATGTTTGCGTGTTGACCACACATATGTTCAGGCCGAATCTTCAGGAGATACAAAAGTGTTTTTTCAAAGAATATGTTTATAAGTTTGTTACCAGAAAAACACTAGAATTTAAACCAGGATAAACTGTGTCATGTTCCTTATTGCTTATATGATTTTTCATCTCTAGTTTCATAATGCTGCGATAGTCACCCGAAGTTACCTAAAATAAAAAGAGACATGCAAAGAGAATAAGGTGTTATGTTCTGTTGTTGGTTTTGTTTTGTTTTTTCTTTTTTCCAGATTCGTTTGGTAGTACTGTGAGTTGAAAGGTCTGAGAAATTATCATCATCTAGGCTATAGTCATTCATGGCATAAAGCACATGGCATGGCATAAATTATTATGACATCATTGTGTATCTTAAAAAAGAAATGAATACTTTAGAATAATTGCATGCAAGTCAAATATTTATATTGCCTCAGGAATATAAAATTTTCCAATTAATTACTTAGTTCTGTTTTTAAATGCTGGGTAGGCAGCATTACTTTTTGTACCAACACTGATTTCTATGTGAGAATTGTCCTGGAAAATCTGACCATCATGGACGTTCATTGCAACAGATTGCAGTGCTTTAGGTGTAAGATGAGCTCAGTGACTGAGGTATGGATGTAGTGAAAGATGTTACCTTCACATTATAGTGACTGTATAAAACTTTCTTTCTCCTTTAATCTCACTACAGGCCTGACAGTTTATTAATAATAAAGCTCTTGAGAAATTTAATTATATTTATGTGCATGTATGATGTGTTACAGTTTAAGAACAGAAAATATTTAGACTCAAGTGCAGTTCTTCTGCAAAACACTATTTCAAGCTAGCATAAATTCCTTAATAAAAATAAATAAATAACACTCATAGATGATATTAATTGTACTCCACTATCTGATGGTCAAGTGACCTTGCTAAAAAAACTTGTTCACTTGTTACTTACTAGGCAATATCATAAAGCCTGTGAATTTGCTTTACTGACTCCTGAATTTTCATTTTTAAATCAATTTTATTATCAAATGCAAAAATCAACTATCAGTTTGACTGGCCGTCCACAATATCACGTACCAGGAAAGGTCAGTATATTATGGTGACATCACATAAACAATATTTGACTTATGATGCACGTCGATATTACTCTGTTTTCCAGTGTAGGTAATTAAGTGAATTTAATGTCATTCATGACACAAAGAGATTGTTTATTGGTCCAACAGTTATATGCCTTGACGCATACAGGCTGGTTGCCTCATTTTGAAATGGCTGAAGTCTGCTAAAATTAATCCTATTTCAACTGTAGCTGAACAGCTATCAAGGAGGGACCTGTTCTTATCCAGAAGTACAAAACTTGTAATGGTTGTTCCTCAGGATTTAGGAATGGCATCTGCATTAGCTGCAGGTAATTCCTGCAGTTCTAAGGGCAGAGAACTTGCATTCCTACCCACTCCAAAGTTACTTATTTAATTGCTAGAGTTGTTCTTCATTTATTCCAGTTTGTATGCTGCTATTCTAGAAAATGAAAGGTAACAAACATTAGAAAACCAGAAAATAGTGTGTTTTTTTTTTTTTTCTTTCTTTTCTTTAAAAAAAAAAACAAAAACAACAACAAAAAAAAACTCTGAAAAAAAGTGTTATGTGGTTAACATGCAACTAGCCTGGACTGGCTTCAGATTATCCTAAGGCAGGCATGGAGTTGTGGTTGGAAAGTCCTTGTCTATGGAATTTAAGGCTTCTGCATGTTGGATTAGAGGGCTTAGCAGTTCAGCAGTTTAAACCCAAGAAAACCTTAGCAGTTCCCCCACTTCCAAGCAGTTCCCTCACTTCCAAGCTTATCTATGTGTAGTTGCTACTCTGCTTAGCAGTCTATTAACAAAGTCATAGCCTTTCAGCAGGTTTGTAAGAAATTGTTATGACGTGTTTGTCTTGTGTTGGCTCCTTCAAAATTAGCTTTGTGTGTTACTTATTTGTAACCTTCCAGCTCATTAAGTTAGTTGATCTACTTTGGAGTCAGAAAATATTCAGGCACGGGAAAATTTCAATCAAATCAACCTTGCATAGAAACAACTGCCTGTTTGCCATCTGCAGTGGGCATTGATCCCTAGATTGTTTATGTCTTGTATTTGTTATGCATGAGTAAGCACATTAGCCTTTTTATTTCATTCATTACACAGTTAGTCCTTGATTAGTGTTTCCTAGTTTCTGTCATATAAGCTACTACTCCTTTATTCTTTTTGTCTTGAGTCTGCCTTTTTCTTTTGCTTCAACACAGAAAATTAAAAGTTAACCACAAGAGTAGTCCTTTTTTTTTTTTCATATACAACTGGCAAACCACTGTACTTTTCTAATGTTGGCACATCTAATGTGGGATAAAATATGAATGCTGAGCCTTTCTAAAGTTAACATAGTTATTATTTTAGTTCAGCTGATAGGCTTTGTTTAGAAGAGTAACGTCTAGAGCTTTACTGGCAGCTTTATCTTATCCATCTTCAAGAACTGTGGATCACCTGAATATTTGTGGATGGATATTTTCCTCATAAAGTTGCCTTGTACATAAAAATAAATCTGAAGTAGTGGCAAGTACTGTTTGAGAATATTGCACTGAAAGTTTCAGATGACAGTAGGATGACAATACAGAAAAATCAGGCATTTTATGAACATAAAATTCAGTCAGTAGGGCTTTTTGCTCTCATTTCCTTGTGGGACAGTAAAACATATACATTAAATGACATTTCTGTTCACAAATAGAATAGAAAAATATGTAAGCAGATGTTCCTAAGGATGAAAACTGTATGCATCTTTGGAAACTACATAATTAGAGTATAAATTGACTATTTCAATTTACATTTAGTGATGCCACTAAGTGATTTTACTTAAGCAATGATCACAAGTCATATTGCTGAAGAATTCAATACAGTGCTACATCCTTAGGTAATCAGAGTGTATGTAAAATATTATTTCCTATTTGTTACCTTTTATTCATCATATAAGAAAATTATATCAGTGAGCAGCTGTATGATCTCTGGAGTTTACCTTGTTTAAAATTTTAATTAAAAAGAAGTATTTTTGTCAGTGTTGTAGCCATATTTGATATAACTGATATCTGCACTAAACATTTGTTTGCTTATTTGAGATTTAAACTGAAGATGAATGGCTTAAATAAAAAATATGTAAAATAATATTTTAATTGGCAACAAGATAAAATTTAAGTAAAGTATTTCATTTTCTTTTTTCCACCGAAAGTTAATTCTGATTGTTTGAAAATCATTTAAAATGTTACTGGATAAGTCTGAAGGCTTATATTGAATTTGATACTTTTCTCTAATTCTTAGTTTTTATAGTTCTATAATATTTTAAGTTGTTTCTCATCCATGATATTTGATTATAGTGAAAAATTTATTTGTGGTTTTTGTGGAGCTGTATTAGCATGGAAACTAGAATTCATTTAAAATTATTGCTTTGCACATATATTCTCATATATGCAGTTTTTTAAGACATACTTGTAAAAGCAATCCAATGTTTACTATCTCTTACAAAACTGTAGAGTTGGTAGGTTTCATATTCTCATGACTAATTTCATAGGATCATAGAATCATTAAGCAAAATAAATATTTCATAGCTATACTGAAGAAAACATTGTTTTTGTACTTTCAAATGAGATGTATGAATGCTGGGAAAAATGATTCTAGCATATCAGCAACTTCCACCACCACAATTATTTGATTACCTTTAAAATGTTATACACCTATGTATTTTACTGTGGTATTTCATTTCTAATTCGTATTTGTTTCTACTATTTGCATCATTTAGTATTTTTTAAACACTTCAATAATACATATAATATATTCTTAATTAACAAGATTCTTCTTTGTGCAAAAAATCAGTCTTACCCCCATTATTTCCAATGTAATAAAGGATATATTATCATTTATTTCCATTTTCTACAAAATCCTGTAGAAAGCTACTGAATCCTCATATGCAAATGTCAGGCTGTATATGTTTAACTCTATTAAAACTATCACTCAGCCATACTAGAGTTTCATATACTTTATTTAGCATTCCAACAACAGCAATAAAAACAACAGGAAAGATCAGTGGAGAGCGCTGTTGTAAATCTTCTGTGTATCTGGATGATATTTGCTATAAAAAAATCGAAGACCCTTTCAGTAAACATAGCTATCACGTCTGATTTGTAAAAGTGGGGAATGTAATAAGTGTAGTGAGTTGATTATTTTCATAGAGATCCCTTCCTTGGAGCAGCATATCTGTAAAGTGGTCAGAATATTGCTGTTGTTGAAAATGATAGACAGTAAAACACCTCACAAACAATATGCCTTGATTACAGTTTTGGTCTTCTGTTTTGTAATTTTTCTTTCATTATAGATTTACAGTTCTCTTTTTTCTGTTAGGATGCTTCAATTGCCCACAGATTCCACATCATGAGGGAAAAACATCCGGAGAAGTTCAACAGTAGGTAAGAATTTCAAATTGCTCACATGTGAAAAGATTATTTCTATGTCTTTGAGATTTGTTCTATAAGGAGTTAAATCTTGCACAGCCTTTAAAATATTGATTCTCATAAAAGAGAGGAAATCAGTGCATTTTGTATTAAGTATATGCTCACAGACTGCTGGTAGCGTAACTGTTTTATATCTGGTATTTCAACTGAAATGAATAGGATTATAAATAAACTGTTCTCACATGCAAAATGTTTGACTTGTAAGACTAGCATGGACAAGATGATGCATTGTGGTATCTGAAGATCTCTGAATTGACACTTTGCCATTAGGCACTGAAGAACACTTATTAGACAGCTGCAGATGGTGGTCCTTATGTTTCATTCCCACACGCACACTGGTACATTGACAGGAGGCTCTTCCATATATACTCTTACTAAGGGCAAGTGAATGCCGTTTTACACATAAATGCTTTTATCATTAAACAGCTTTGGATATATAAAAAAGTCAGGAATGAGACTTTGCATCTGTTCCTTGTTGCTTTTTGAATTTAGAATTTATCTCTGAGCTTTTCTGGATATTAAAAATGTGTTACAACATGTACTGCAAAATCACCTTCTTTCAATATCTAGTTTGTTGAGTAGATAATATTCATAATGCAGTGCTTATGTTTGTCTCTTTCTATTTAGGTAATTTAGCACATCACTTGTGATGGGTAAAAGCAACATTTCAGAAACTTTAATTAAGATTCAAAGGCGCATGGGAAGAAGAAATTAAGATATGAAGTTTAGGGATGTAATGGGAATATCTAGGAATAATTGTTGAAACAAATGTTTTGTCATACCTACAGATTTTTTTTTTTAATTTCCATCAGGGTCAACCAGATATAATGTAGAGGTCAATCTTCATAGATGTTAGGATAATAAAATATTTTTTGTGCAGCCTCATTACAGCTGTATAGACTGATTCTTGAATGTGTTTGAATATTATCTAATTTGGCAATTTCATGTCGCAAGTATAAATTTTACTCTTAACAGTCCAAGATGGGGACTTTTTCCTTAAATAATCATCTCAATTATGTTCTAGAATCTATTCAACGATATACAAGAACTCAAGTATATATTTCTCTTTGAGCCTACTATAAACACTTAAATTATATTACCTCCTCTTTCTGCCTCCTGTGCTTCTCATTTTGTAAGAATTATACTCTGAAAAGATTTTAACTGAAGTCTGATCTGCACATCCAAATCTATTAGTCATTCCATCATTCACTAAGACTAGAGATATTGGACATTTAGCAAATGCAGATATTCTAGGCCCTGAAGATGAAGTTTATCAGTGGTCTTTCTGCATATTTTCAGCAGCTGGCAATTATGATTTATAAAAAGCTCAGCTAATAACATGAGTTTCAGATCAGATTTCATGTCACGATAAATCATGTGCCATTAATCTGCTAGCAGACTCACCTTGAAATTCATCTATATTTTAAGGAACCTGATGTTTCTAGCACTATCTTAAGGAAATTATCTACAAAAATATATAGTTGGAGTCCCTGTGTTTCAGTAGTGTGGTACTGAAAGAACTTTTAAAAAGTAATGATTGTCAGGCTGTTTAAAGACTGTTTAGAAAGGTGATGCGTTTCTAAAAAATAATGTGAAGACTTGGTCAAAGTATTGTAACAGGGACTATTTTTTTTAAAGGTTACTGTGGATTTCTGTTACTGTTGAAAAGAATATTCCAAATGCTGTAAGTTCATAAACGTGTATGTTGCTCCAGAAGTAATGCCTCCTATTTATTTCCATGGAAACTGCATCATTTGCAAAGAGCAGAATAACTCTGTTTAAATGAACAAATTCTCAACTACAAAACACTATTTTTCAACATCAGCACCACCATTAGCTGTGCATTTTCAAAATGATGAACAAGAGCCTGCATGCTGCATATGTAGAAATCTGCACCAGCAAAGGTGACCACTGCTGATACGTACCACTTACTGCCTTGCTGTGCTCACATGCACTGTTTGGTCTCCATAAATATTCAAGCAAGCATCAGTGAATATTAATGGATGCCATTTTTTCCACATGGACGAATTCAGTGCCACACCTTTGCTTTGTATACACTTCCATGTTGGTCACATTTCTGTCAGACTGTTCTGCTGCTGCCATCTGTCACGTGGCAACAAAATGTAGTAGATATTGTCAGGAAGGTTCTCTGCTGCCATACCACCAATATTTGCTTCTGACATCGTGGGCCAACATAATGAAACAGGAGGCATTACTTTCAGAGCAGCCCTTGTACTTTTTCCTGCTTGTAGCAAAACTCCACAATATGGTATAGCAGCATTTTCCTGCAGTGTGTGAAAGTGAAACCATTTTATATATATCAGACAAAATGCATTTATCGCTTTCTTCATCATTTGGATCAGCAAGGCAATCCCAAGTCAGATTCATAGACTACTACATAGTTATAGCACTTAGTCATTTCAAAATCCTGCATTGTCACATGTGAATTGGTTAATTCTTTTGTGGCTTTGTGCTATTTTCTTCTTGCTTGATTTTCCAAAGCTTTGTACTCTTACTGTCATCAGTTTTGTAAAGCAGATCCTTGCACTGAAGTTCTACTTTGAGAAGGACTATATAAAAAGTTTCTTTGCCTAAAAGAAACTGAATTTATGCTATGTGCAGAGATTTTCTAAAATGCACAGGTGTTGTATTTGATTCTTCTTTGTGAATTAGATTAAGTTTGTAGTTGGAGAATCATCTGCCTTAGATTGTGGCAGTGATAATCCTTAAAGTACTATGACATTCCTTGACACACTGACACCAAGCTGCCTGTGTAATTAGAGCATACCGATATGGAAAATCCTGATATGCTGCATATATGAATGCAGAATCTTTCTACACTTGTTTACCTTTTCAGAATGAAGAGGAGAACAAATCACAAGGCTTAGAAGGACTTTTTAATTATTACTCACTGATACTGTAGAATGTTTTGGAAGCAGGTATCTACTTAAGAATGCTGGCATGTTTTGAAACTGTGCAGTGCTCCTAGGTTTCGGACACAAAGACTTAGTACTGGCTCATTAAAAATACAAAGAAATTAAATAAGTTGTGGATTTCTGCACTAGAGATGCATAGACGTGTAGGTCTTTGAAAAAGTCTCAGATTAAGTATATGTGAATATTCATGAATTTAAAATCCATATTATGTTTCGTTTCTTAAACCTTTGAATGACTTAGAAGTTTCCTGTGCCATTTCACCTGTGCAACCCCTGTTTGTTTCTGATTATTACTAAAGTGAAATGATGTGCTTTTGTCAAATGTTTTTTTTCTGTTCAGAATTTCACTGAAAAACTGTTGGTAAATGTTTTAGTTACTAGTTAGCTACTTAGTTAAGAATATTATCCTTGTAAGCTGCAATTTAGAATGGCTTCATATGATTTTACAAATAAGGCTCAGTGTAAGTATCTTACAATATTTGTAAAATATTCATTATTTCTTCATGAAAATGGATCTGAAGGAGAAAAACCTTTATTTTGGTGATGATCCAATAGAAAATAATGAAAGTGGGAATACAGCAGCTCCCCCACATCTGTCAAAAAAATGAATCCTAACAAGCTTTTTCAAATAATTGTATCTTATGATCATAAACACACATTATCAGAAATCTGCACTAGTATTGCACTGAGATTTAAATGTGTCCGAAGGAAAAAAAAATTCTTAGCTGTCACTGCACCTATTCTGCAGGTCTAAAGTGCAGAGAACTCTGTGTAAGGTAACAGGGTTTGCTCCCCCGTATCTGCTGTTAGGAATAGGGTCAGATTCCCTACTTTCAGTGTAGAATAGCTGTGTTAACCTCGGGGGAAGAAAACTTGCAAAAGACAGCATTTCAAGTAACAATATCATTAAAGTAGGACATACTGTTGAAATAAGGATTCAGTTAGGCCAAAATGCCCTGCAGGGAGATTTGTGTAAACATCATAGACTCAACGCTGGGGATAACAGATGTATGAGTTATGTGACTAGAATATACACATGGAAACAAGGACAACATTCAGCAAAATATCATTCAAGTTCACACTATTCTAAAATACTATAATATAATGCTAATTCAATTCCCTGGCACCCAGTAGCGTACAAGGTATTTCTTATTTTCTATAAACTGAAGTAGGATTTATAAATTGCATTTACAGTTTTAAGTGTGTTATCTTTGAGATTTTCAAGCATCAGTCAATTTTTCTCTTTTATGAAGTGGAAATCCGTATGCAGAAAAGGTTCCTATTCCTAATAACTCAATTTGTATCATGTTCTTGACCATGTACTTCTGAGATTCCCTTTCAACTTGTTTACTTACACTTTTATTTAATCTGGAAAGGCTTTTTTTTACTTAAAGATGGAGGAAATGGAAGGTAAATGAATCTTTAGCACTTCTTCTTCCATGTGCCCCAGCTACAGTACTTCACAATGCTGTGTAGTTAAGTAGTGAAGCATCTTCCCTGACCTCAGAAAAAAGAAAAAAAATAAAAATAAAAATAAATGTTGTGCATATAAGGGCTGATACTCTATTGAAAAATCTGTATCTTATAATGTTTGTAAGCCTGCCAGGCAGTAAGGAAACTAAACACTTATTACTGAAAACATGCAGTAACTCCAGTGGTGACTGGATAAAAAAAAAAACAGTTTAACATTTCTGCTTATTTTTTTGCATAATGCAACCTCAATTTTAAAAGCAAAGTAGTTTGCCATGTAGCGAATAAAATTCTCAGGTATAAGTGACCTGTGTTTTAAAGTTGGCTTACTTTAGCTTTGAATTGAAAAGTCAAAATGTTTCAATTTAAAAAGAACAAAATTATTTTGATATTTTCATTATTCTTCCAGTTTTTCAGCTTAAGTGATGCAGTCTCTTGGGCTGAACCTCTAGTACATACTTAGAGTGAATAAACTAATCATCAGCTCACAGTTTCTAACTTGAATTGCAGACATTTCAGGCTATTTCCTTCAACCTCTCCTCCCTTCCTC